CTCCGATCAACTCTGCGCTCTTTCAAGACTTTGCTGTGTGCGCGGTTGCCAAGGCTCTAAACTAAGGCTGATCGGTTGCTTGCTCATGGTGCAAATGACATGACATGGTCAAAACTAAACTGTTGAAGATCCTCATTTAGGTGTGCCTTTTTTTGAGGGAACCCCTTTTCAGTGGAACACACCCATTTATGGGAGTTCCTTGAAACTGGCAACTTGTTCGAACCATCATCGAACCCAATTTGAATGCTCCCGCTTCCCGAGAGCTACTCACTCCGGATTTGCTTCTGCCAGAGCCTCGGCTGGGAACAGGCCAATACAAATCGGTGGTATACTGCGCGGAACTAAGTCGAGCTTGAGCTGATCTTAGGCTAGACTTTGCCGGGCTTTAGAGTTTCGCTCAGTTGGGAGCAAATCGGAGTGAATAGAAAACTGTAAACTCTGATGCTCTACACAGAACCCCAGGAAATACTGGATTTGGGGAATCGGGTTTTTAACTAGATTCAGGCATGCCTCGCTGAGAAACCGTGTAATTATGGGCAATGGCTAGCTGGTTCTGCAAACGACGACACAATCACACAACCGCCACGTGTTTCCGCACAAGGCTAAGTCACAGGACAGGTGGCCTCGTGTGAGATCAGTCCATGCTCATCGCTCATCAAATTCCGAAGCCATGCACACGTCAACGGTGCAGAACAGAGTGGCATGACACAGCCAGAGTCTAATTACACAAAGCAAAGCATGCACATATTCAAACAACAAAAGGCACCGACAACGCAACCAGGCAAGGAACAACCTCGGAAGCCAGCAGCAACCCAGGCACAAACAAGGATCAGGTACGAGTACGGACAAATTAATGGAATCAAGGGAACACCAAGGAACAATCGAGGAGCAGCTAGAAGACACAGGCACTATGCAGAACAATTCAAGGAACCGCTAATGAACCAACAAGCGAACAATCGTGGAGCAACACAGAAGCAATAAAAGGCATCCAAGCAACAGCCAGCGAACATTCGCCAAATAAACAAGGAGCATTCTCGGAGCAGTCAAGGAACAATCAACCATTCTATAACAACAGCCCAGGAACATTCATGGAACGCTCCGGGAGGGAACTTGCACAAGAGACAAACAAGGAGAACTCACGCTCCAATGAAGGACAAATCGTGGACCAAGCCAGGAACAACCAGAAACCAACTCCCGCCTGCAAAAGCTGCTTCTGCGCTGACGGCGATGCAGAGATCTGCAGATAGACCAAAAACGGTAGGGGGGGGGGGGGCGCTGAAAGAATCGGTGGAACGCATCAAAAGGCATGGCGCGTGTCCACGTCTGCAGCTGAAACACAAACAGGAACAAGCACGGGTTACTCCCCAGGTCACTAGGCCTTGAGTGACACGTAGAAACACCAACCCAGCAACCGATAGGCATTTCCCGAGAAAGAACTCTCTGGACTTGGACATGCACGCGAGTGCACCTCCAACATGGGTGAGCTTGATTTACCCTAGCTCACCGAAAATCGTGCAAATGGACTTCCCATGCCAGGCGCTTGGTTGCACCCTGGACAGCGTACTTGGACACATTTGAATGCCCTTGCCTCACGGAGAAGGGTGGGTAGAACCCTGGAATCAATGGAACTTTGTGGGTCCCCTCCTTTTCACTGAAAGACATGTCTCCTTCAGGCCCTCACGTCCCTGAAGGGAAGCCACAAAAGGAACCAATCTGTTGGAGCCCCCTGTGGACATACCCATGCGTACAAAGTTGAACAATGCATGTCAGGATGACTTTGAGAAGAAACAACATGTGCCTGCTCATTCCGATCCCACAAGAAGCAACAATTGAATGGAATCAACTTAGACATCCAGACCCTGGTAGTCTTTGTCAAATCAAGGCAAAAGACAACTGTTTCAACAAAGGTGAATGAAACATATTGACAAGCCCTGAACGGTTGTCCAACATGGGCGGATCTCTCCAAATGCGTAATCCGTAGTGGGACCCCGGCACAACCAAGGAACCCCTAGCATGCCAAGGTTTTGCATGTTGATTATATATATATATGTATATCATAATACAAGCCAGTAATCCTTATGGTCAGATTGGTACTGACCCACAACCCATATCAGGACAACCCATTTAACTTGCGATTCGACTTTCTCTTGGGCCAATCAGGAGTCGTCTCTTGCCCTCAACACACGCACACACGCACTCAGGAGAGCCTGGTGGCGGCGCATCTCAACGAAGACCTGGGCAGGAGGAGGTACCGTTCGGACCGCTGAGAAATTTGTTTTAAGCAGTCTGTGTCGAAAGTGCGTGCATGTGTGCGTGCGTGCGTGCGTGCATGCGAGGGCGGGTGGGTGGGTGGGTGGGTGGGTGTGTGTGTGTGTGCCTGCGTGTGTTTGTGCGTGTGTGTGTGTGTGTGTGTGTGCCTGCGTGTGTTTGTGTGTGTGTGGGCGTCTGTGACGGGGGGGGGTGCGTACGTGCGAGCTCATGTGTGTGTTTTTGTGTTTTGATATAGCCTTTTCAGGTTGGTTTAAAGGGAAACCAACAGTACAATTACCATTTTAGTGTAATTGCAGCAATTCTGTCCAACCCCAAGATCATGCTTTCACCGTTCCAAGGCAATCAATACCAACTCCTAAGTCCAACAATGCCCAAATGCATACCCAAATGCAGTATGCAAACACGCCATTCACGTCCAAACCATACATACAAGAGGTCGCGCCGAGGAGCGATCAAGGACCGACTGTTGCAGCCTCCCGCCAAAAGCGTCAAACCAAACAAATCAAATTCATCAACGTGTCAAGAAAAGCGATGAATCACACGCGTCAAGAAAAGCGATGAATCATATGCGGTTTTGTGGCTTGAACCACAAGTCCAAGCCACAAAACACACACACACACACACACCAAAACCAACATATATGCACCCAAAAGCGATGAAACCAAAGAATTTCAAATTTCAAGCACATTCACGGCAATCCCCCACCAATCAAACACAGGTCACTACCAACTAGAGTTCATTCCAGCAGGGGGGAGATACGAACCAAGCCAAGCCAATCCATACCACTTGAGAAAAATGGAACAGAGGCCATGTCCATCTGATCCGAACCAATGAAATCACATTCACAGCTGCAAACTACTGTCAACCGTTGTGCCTTGCAGTCTGAGCTTATCTATGCCAACCATTGCCAATCCAAAAGAACTTTAAGTTACTCCGCGCACTTGGACATCCGGGACTCAACAGGGAGAACAGTGGGGAAGACTAGCCCGTACAAAGCAGCAAAGGGATGTCTTGGGCGTTCTACGGACAAGTTTCAGCTGCACAACCATCCCCAAAAAAGCGGTTTAGAGGTCATGCTTTGTTCCTGAAAGCCCATATGAACACTGCTGAAACCCACAAGGGTAAAGGGCTTGAACGCTTGATGGTAAGTGGACAATGAATGGCTGTTAAAAGCGGGCCTTTCTTTAGCGGATTCACAAGAGGGTGTTGGAATAAATTCACATTACGTTGAATGGAAAGGAGCTCTGCAAACAAATTAGCCATCTGTTGAACTTAAATTGCACTATTTTACCCCTAAACCCCGACAGTAAAAAATCCAAGTGAACCCAAACTCGCTTGGAGGACCTCTCGAAAAAAATCAATTTCAGACGGATTCCAAAGCTTTACCTGTCAATTTGAGAACCTCGCAACTGGAGCCCGGAGCTTCAAACGCTGGCGACACCGCTCACGCCTGCTGCGCCATTGCAGAGGTACCGCAAGCCTGGGACGAACACTGGTCTCTTGTCGAGGTTCAAGCTCTGCAACGGGAATATGGGTGTGTATGTTCTTTTTTGAGGGTGGCCATGTTTTGGCGCCTTTAAAGGCAAACCAAAAGGACAACCACCATTTTGGGGGGGTCCCGAAAAAGAGACACACCCATATGTGTCCGGAGTTGAGGCTGCCGGCTGGATGTGAAAGGGAATTCAAGGGGAACTATCCAGTCAGGGGTTCTCCAATTGGACAACCTGATATTTGACATGAAAAACCATGGGTGATTTTCCTTGAAACCTCTCTGTGAAACCGATAAGCGAAAAAAACGTCGGCAAATAGTGATAGGACCTGTGGCACAAGCGGATGGCTCCTGGATTGGCCATCACGCATTGCGTGCATGTCAGCACACATATAAATTTTGGGGTGTGGACCTCCCAAAATGTTGGTCTTGCTCTTTGTTTGCCTTTAAAACCGCCAAACACTTGGCACTGCTCACAATAAAATCGTACCCATATTCATTTTGCAGACCTTGAACCCCCGGGAACAGCTTACGCCTGAAGCCGCCATGCTTCCGGCCACTCCCTGACTTTCTTTCGAGTGGGATGTGGTCTGGCAAAAGGGTCCTACATCCCGTGTTTGCGACAAGGAAGAGTAAACCGATCGTTGCGTCCATCGTTATCCTTGTGACAGCACAAAGGCATGACGCAGTAGTTTGCTTCAAGCATTTGAGAAGTATGTCTCGCATGAGACAAAATGAATCAACATGCCCCACCATAGGTCGAATCCCAAGATTCGGTTGCCTCATCTTTCTAGAAGAGACAGAACCATATCCCCGCAAGGGTGGGTCTGCGGTCCTTGGATTTCCTCCCGTCCGAAGCCCATTGAAGCCTAGGAAGAGCACGTGGTGGACAGCCAGGGCGGCCGCTGGTTTTGTAGGCGGAACATATATCACAGCTCAATGAAAAGAAGCAGACCACACCCGAGGAATGGTGGCGACATGTGACGATGTAGAAGCAGCTCTGCAACACTAACAGGCGATGTGATTGCTTTGGGCCTAAAGCAGTTTGTGAGGAATACCATTTTTTCAAGAGTCATTCAAAACTATCACATACCTCACTGTATGGTGGCTAAAAGGATTTTTGGCACATTTCAGCATGCAGGACCCAAATTCGGATTCTATGACACGTGCAAGTAGCGCAGAACGAATCGTCTCGGGACATTTCCCAGGCGCCTCCAAGACGGAGTGCAAAACGTGAGTCAGGAAGGCCTTGTCCTGAGACTACAGAATCGCAACTCAACAAAAACCGGATTCGGGCGGCTTTGGGGGAACATCTCAAGGGTGGTGTTCCTTTCCCGAAAAGGGGTGCCAAACAAAGCAGACCCCGATCATGAAGAAATTCTGATAACCAGGGAACTGTTATGACAGCAGAATAGGCTAGTGTCCTGTGATCACGTAAATTTCGGGCTTATGGCGGCCCAAAATATCTACAAGTGCAAGCTTTGCACGTCAGAACAAGGGTGCATGGCACCTGCATGTAGTTTCAGCTTTGGATTTGTCCCATTTCCGAGCCAGTCTTCGTTTGAGGTGCCCCCTTGTCGAACAAAGACTTCCCGGATATACTACCAGGACCAAAATCCAGTCAAGCCCTAAAAAGCTGAAAAGCCAAGGAACCGGCGGGTGGCTGGGCTTGCCAACAAGATAAGAAGCGAAGGTCGACCCGCGAGTTGCAGGCAAGCTCAGGTCCCAGCGCAAGATGGGGCCACCTCCGGAGCAAAGGAACGGTTCGAATCACTGGCCGTCCATCCTCATCTCAGTTGAAAAACACCACGAACCCGCGAATCTGCGCGTGAAAAAGCCGCAAGCAAGCAAGCAAAAGCAAAGCAAAGCAAAGCAAAGCAAAGCAAAGCAAAGCAAAGCAAAGCAAAGCAAAGCAAAGCAAAGCAAAGCAAGCGTCTTACAGGACAATCCCGAGACTCAGAATCCAGTCCCTGACTTTGAAAGGCAGTCTCATAAGAGACGTACTGTTCAGCATGGTAAAGTATTCTTGACAAGGAAAATAAGATGGGGCAGGAATTCCAAAGACCGCCTGCCGCATTGTTGGCCCCCAAAAAGCGATACCCAACATGAAGCCCAGATTTCAATCCCTGGGTCCCGGAGTCCTGGTGGATGGCACTTGGCTAGGGTTCTTGGTCCTGGATTATGTGCAACTCACCCCCCCCAACAAAAATCATTAGTTCCTTTATTCCATGTTAATTGGTGGGAGGGTAGCCAATATTGATTGAATCTCCTCGTGCTTTCCCTTTTGAATGGGGTCCGGGGTCTGGGAATGTTTTCCATGGGCATCACAGACAATTCCCTTTCAGTGGGCATGTGTATAGGGATTTATGTCCAACCAGCATTTGGATCATCTTGCCCAACCCCAAGATCTCAGTAGCTTGCCTGCTGAATCAAAGCCAGGGCCTTCCTGAGGTCCGGCTCCTGAGCGCGCGGAGAACGTCGTGGATGGCTCGGAGTGGCGGCATCGGATCATGTGGAGTGGGATTTTCATGGCAAATGGTGAAGAGATCTCCAACGAACAGAGCCCCCGACAAATGGACAAACGCTTGGCGCTAACGCCTCGAGTCAAGCTAAAATAGCTGGTCCTGGATATGTACTAACTAATACTGGCCATGCTAAAATTAGGTACTGGCAACATCTGGCAACACTGAATTTAGTACCGGCACTATACAACTAAGCGCCCGCAATATTAAACGAAACAAACAGCTCTCACAATACCAAACTTACTACTGGTAATATTGAATTTGGTGTTGGTAATATTTGTATAATTTTACTGGCATACGGAACGTAGTGGCAATATACAACTAAGTACCGAATATACTGAACAAAGTCCTGACAATACTCGATTTTCCCAGCCAGGACGAAATTTAGTACTGGCCGGACAAAATTCAGTACTGGCAATACATACTTTGGCCTTGGCAACCGGAAATTAATCCTGACAAAGATTAAATCCAATCTTGGCACTACTCAATTATAAATTTGGTGTTGGCATCATACATTTAGCACTAGCATACTGAATGTAGTACTGGCAGAGTGCTGGCCATATTGAATTAAGTACCGCCTAAAATCAAATTACAGTAAGCCGGGGCGATACTAAATTCCGTACTGACTATACACACTGGCAGTGCTAAACTCAGTACTGGTAATACAACAATTCGTCTTGACAGATGTACATTGAATCCTGGCAACGTTAAATCTTGGATTCTGTTGACCCCTCTGCAAAATGTTTAACTTTTTCTGTGTTTAGTGGAAGCCCCTTGATTTCCCAAAAAGTTAAAGTCTAAAGATCCAACCTAATAGCAGTCAATAAATTTGGTCCTGGCACTACTAAATTTAGTCCTGGAAAGGTTCGCCAGGTTTCCCATGCCCCAACTCATCGTATTTCACCTTGCGATGCTCAGCACCTTGCGGCGCGCTTACATCTGTGGACTTCCCTCAGCACCTGCACCTTTCGGTGGTAAGCATCCTTCTGTGCTACTCTTTCGATTTTTTTTTCGTTAAACTAGCCAACCACCTGGAGAATCCGTGACCCTCAAGAAGTGGGGCCATGACCCCTTAACTTTGGGAAATGCCCCCCCCTTTTTTAAGAGTCAACTACCTAGCCCACGTACTTCGCACCTTGCCCCAGAGCTTCTCCAGCAAATCCCCCCTCACTGGTCGAAGCCCGCGATTTGGAGCCCTTGGACAACACCCGCCCTTCCGAGTCTCCAACCTTTCCAAGTGGTCGCCAAATGCCGCATTCAAATTGACTATTACCCGCATCTGCGTGCACTCGCGACATGGCATTGACACAGTCGACTCAAAATTTGGGCAAAAAAACTGGAGACCAGCGCACTACCAGGGTCCCATGTTCTGAAAAACTGTGCCGTGGCTTCTCAAGCCCCAAATCCACTTGCCGAGGGCTTGCTTCTCAGCCTGGGACCCCCTGCGGCGCTCTTGGCTAGGCCCTTCACCAGGATGGAGCAGGTGAACCTGAGAGCTCGCTGGCAAGGTCACCTACTCCGCCCGTGACTGGCCAAAGGACCACAAGGGTGAGCGTCTTTTCTTGGGAGGATACATACTCTGTTTGGGTGGTTTTGAAGGGAAACCCAAAGGGGAAAAAACAAAGCCATTTTGCGTCGCCCTGATACAAGACAGACCCATAACCACTTCTCGAGAGAAGCAAACCTGAAGCCACGCGGCCGGTCGGGCTTCAGCCCTCGTTGCTGCATCTGCTCCAGGATCTGCCACCTGAACGGCGTCTTGGCTGGTGGGTATCTGGAAAACGATGCGACACAATATCCAGGGTTTATAACTTGCCAATAAAGAAAACACCTACTTCCTATGTTGCACTTGGGAACTCTACCAGGATTGACTCGCCAAGCCCCCCCTGAGAGATGACCGTCGAACAAAACGGGCCGCGAAGCTGGCTAATTCTATGTGGCGTCGTACACTGGATAGAACATGCCACTTGCCTTCCCCCCCCCCCCCACTGGGGCCGCAGGCGACATTGGAGCATCTCCGGCACGCACGGCTGCATCCTCAGCTGTGAGAACATGTGATCAACCAAATGATTGGAGCACTCTGCTACATGGAAAAAGCGTAGGACTTTAGTCGCGTGTAAAAATGTGGTCTGAATGTTTCGTTTGAGTGCGGCTTCACTACATTGCCTTTGGATCACTCCCAAATAATGATCATTCGGTGCATTCCGGTGAGCCCCTGTTGCACAAGTTTGAGTTCTTGACTGGCCCGGGCAAGGACAGGGCACTGGGATCAACTGCACTGGGGATTAGAACTTGACACATCCAGCAGAACATCTTTGTCGTATACAAACGGGCCCAGCTGTGGTACCACCAACCGCCATGCGCTCCTCCCCAGGGACCAACTCCCTGCCATCCCATGCTGTTAATACTGAAACTTGTCATTTTGACCCATCTCCCTGGATGTTCCCGATTTTTGCTTTGGACTAGTGCAACATCCACCCTGCAAATCAAGGTGCAACCTTGCCTGGCATCTCCTGGGTGACTGTGGGTTCCAAAGTCAACCGGGGGTAGCCACGTTGACTTTTGGTCGCCCACCGCATCCCAACAGTCACCCGGAAGAGGCCCCGGCCATGACCGTGTTGAAGGTGATGGCATTGGGCCTCCCAAAGAGCCCGTGTGCGTTCAAGGCCCATGGAATTGAGACCTTCCTATTTGGCCTTGGCCCATTTGAATCACACACCATAAACAGTATTTCTTTGGTGGGAATTACTTCTTAGGATTCAAACTGCCAATGCATGTCTTGGGTCGACAGCACCCTTACCAAGAAAGCTATGGCAACCATACTGATGGTGGCTCACATGTGGCGTCACTGAACAGATGAGCAGCACCAAGTGAAACTATCAAGTGCAATGACTCAATGCTGCATTCAAGGAGGCAGCAAAGTACTGTGCCTCATGTCAGGTTGGTTTGCAAGGCTGACAGAATCCACAAAAACAGTGCAGCAATATCTTGTTCAAATCTAGCTGCGTTTGCTGACCCTCGGTACAAGTGGACAATCCGAGCTTTCCTGGGCGAGGGGGATGGGTGCCTTGTGTGCCTTAACATGCCGTTTGAATAACCAATAACCAACCAACCAACCAACCGACCGACCGACCGACCGACCGACCAACCGACCGACCCACCCACCCACCCACCCACCCACCCACCCACCCACCAACCAACCAACCAACCAACCAACCAACCAGCCAGCCAGCCAGCCAGCCACCCAACCAACTAACCAACCAACCAACCAACCAGCCAGCCAGCCAGCCACCCAACCAACTAACCAACCAACCAACCAACCAACCACCAGCAACCAACAAACAACCAACAACCAACGACCAACAATTCAGGGTCAAGATGAAAGCAGCCATGGAGTGAAGGTCTTACCTTCTGAAAGGGATGCAGTGCATCGAAGCAAGAAGAGCGACGGGGGATTGCCAGCTCATTTCTCTTAACCAGTCTGGGTGGGACCTCAAACACACAAAGCCGGCTATGGTAAAGGTGGCAGCACACAGCACCATACTCGCGATTGGCCAACGTTGACAAAAGGGGAGCGCGGCCACGCAAAACCAACAGCTGGACCCTCCAGGTGATCTGATGTTGTTGGTTTTTCAGGGGGAGCTGAACATGTGAAACAACTTTTGTCAAAGCCCATGGTTCGCCAATATCGAACCGGGCACCCACCCCTCATCCTGACCCTCTCCCATCAGCCGGCCGCAGGTTGCGCTGAACCAGGCGCCGCAACGCCTGGCATTGAAAACTCGGGTCAGGAGCAAACTTGCAGTGCGCGCATGCCTCACATTGCGCCGGGTGAATGCATTGAAATACATAGTATAGACACATCAGGGCGCAAAAAAACACCAACCTAAAATAGGATATGATTCTGGATGACATGCATGTCAACTTAAGAATGATTTTCACCACCCAACGCCAGAAACAAATGAACATGTTTGTTTACAAAGAAACTGCGCAAATCACGCTAATCCACCAACCAGTTATCCGGAACAAAAGAACATTCACCTTTATCGGATCGCCACACAGATAATTTGTGCTATGTGTTTGTATAGGCGCGGCAGCACAGCAACTCAAACTGGATTTGATCTGGGCGCTGACGTCGGTGTAAAACTGGAGCCTTGCACACCCTCGGGACATAACCCAACCATCGATCTGAACACTGGCCAAAGCCAGGTGTAGTTCCAGGTGATGCAAATAGTGACGAAAGGTACAGTGCCAGGCCCAGAACCGGGCCACTGGACATCAATCGAAACATACACATACAAGCCGCTACAACAAGAACATGTTCCCCCAGGCGTGTTTGTTAGTATACCTCCGTGCTGTCATTTTCTCGGGGCTGGCATGTTCCTCCGATACACAATAATTCTTGCACTGCTTGGCACAAAAAAACAACAAACAAACACGCACCGGCCACCTGGCCTGCCGGGCTTTGCCCACGTCGCCGCGCTGCGCGTGGCCTTTGATCAGGGTGTTGTACCTTGGCTCTGAGCACTTTGCTTGGCTGTCACAAATGTATTCTTCCTAGGTCGGTTTGGTTTGGTTGGTTGATGGGCCGCATCCCCAGCTAGCCTCAGGTGGACTTGCGGCTGCGTATTGGCTTTGATTCAAGCAAGCTATGCGGCTGCCAAACCAGCCGCCAACCCGGCACGAATCATTGAGATCCAGCCTAAACCCCGAACTAGCTTCGAGCAACTCTCAACTGCCACGAAGATCAGAACCAATATGCAACCCAAAAGGTTAACTGCCAAAGAGAGGCATTACCCAGGAAAGCTCCCGCCCGACCTGGCCCCCGTTTGCTCCGCATTTGAAACCCAGTCGGTTTCATGAATTGCCATCCTCCAAGCCAGCTGCTCCGCCTCTGCGACGCATGACAGCGTCACCAACTTGAGGCAGCCACGACACGGTGTCCACGCTGTCTGCCTGCCGGACAGGTATCTGGCTGTGCCTCCAGAATCAACGCAACAGATCTTATACCATCCTTCCAGCCTGCCGGAGAGGTGCTTTCTACGCTTCCACAAGGATCCCGGGAGTCAGCATGATGATGGCTACAGGGGTCGCATTCCAGCATGGTCCAACTGCAGCAACCTCTCAGCCAAAAGGGAGAATCAACGAAGGGCCAACTATACACCCGACATGCTGGGACAGTGGACACATCACGTTAGCCCGCTAGCCGTTGCAAATATGTAAGCGTCTCGCAACTCATTGAAGCACAATGAGCCATGCTAAAATACAGATGAAAAAAACGTTGCGCATGCTGATGCTTGCGCACGGTTTACGTGCTCGCACACAACCAGCTTATGTGTGGGTGCGTTTAATGGGAGATCTGGGCGCCAGGCTTGTGCGAGCCCTGCTTAGCAAGATTCTCGCATATTTCAGTTGCGCAGCTCATGCGACAGACTGGCGGCCTGCCGCGGAAACACCAACTCAGCGAAGCTGAAGGAATCCAGGCAGTGGTCTGAGCGTTTGTTGGAAGTGGTGTGGCGCTGTAGCACTGCTATTGGAAGACGATGACGCGAAAAGAAGCAGCCCACCACCAAACCCAACTTCAAGACGCCAATGACATCGGTTTAAACTTCAAGTATCAGGATGATAGCCTATGGTGGTTTCAGAATCTACGGCGACGTTTACGTCGTTGGTGAACGAAGGCAGGAATGATTGCCACTTGTTTGCCATTCGGACGGGCGGACAGAGGCGGGTTCGGCAATGCGTATGTAGATGTATGTGGGCACTCGTAGCCTGCGACGACTGCTGCGCTGAGCTTCTGCCTCGTCTCGTGACACACACATTTACACACAAAGAAAGCGAGAGAGAGAGAGAGAGAAACAAAGAATTAGATAAATAGAAAGAAAGAAAGAAAGAAAGAAAGAAAAAAAGGAAGAACAAAAGAAAGAAATAAAGAAAGAAAGAAACAAAAACAAAGAAAGAACAGAAGGAAAGACACAAGGAAAGAACAAAAGGAAGAAAGAAAGAAAGACAGACAGAAAGAAAGAAAGACATAAATAAAGAAGGAGGGAAACAGCTAAATAATAGCGAAATAAAGAAAAACAAGAAAGACAGAATGAACGAAATAAATACAGAAAGAAAGAGGGAAATAAATACATAAAGGAAGTAAGAAAGAACTAATGAAAGAACACAAGAAAGAAAGAAACAAACAAACAATACATAATCCATAAATAATTCAATCAACCCAAAAAAAGAAAGAGAGATGGGTAAGAAATAAAGGGAGAGAAACCAACTACGACATGCGGCTCAAACCACCTTTCTGTGTTCTTCACTGCCAGAGTTCCAGAACACTGAGGCCCGCTTGATCTGGCAGTAGCTTGGTATGCCCTGCTGGGCAACCATTCGCAACCACTTGTCAACGTTCTAATTCACAACCTACTTGCATGAAGCAGCTGCCTGAATGGTGTATTAGTTTCTTCTTTCTGAGATTGCACCGGAATCAAGATATGCTGCAATCTCTTCCTCTCTGAAGCAGAAACCTCGGCGCAAGCTCCAGCCATGTAGGAAGGTTGCATGAAGTCCATGGAACAAAAAAACATGCTGTGGAGCTCTCATTGGACAAACCTTACACAACGCACAAATTCGACGTCGGGGGTGGTGTGTGTGTGTGTGTGTGTGCGGCTGAGCTTTGATATCCCCGGCCTCTTCCACCAAGGCTTCCACTTCCTGCACAAAGAAACCAACTGTCGAACTTCAGCGGTGGAACGCCCGTATCGTTTGAGGAACCCGAAGAACGCCATGTGCAAGGGCTCCTTTTGTGCTTTGGTGGCTGCCTCAATCGGAAAAGCAGTGCGATGGTGGGTTGTGTCGCTTGGTTGTCGCTAGCCGCTGGTCGGCATGACGATCAACATTTTGGGACCTAATAGAAAGCTATGAAGAAGTGCCTGTCTGAAGTACAGTATAAATTTTCACCTCTCTGATTGTGGCCTGCTCTTCACAAGTCAAGCCATCCAAAGATATGCTAACGCAACCAGAAAGACTCGTGCCCTGCTTGCTGAGCCAAGAAATGCAAGGGAAAGCAATGTGCACCAATGAAAGAACATCATGGTAAGCTGATCTGCCATTGATACTGCATCATTCCATGTCGCGCTTTGCAGCTAACCAGTCCTATGTAGACATATCACACATAAATAACTCCAAGTACCGCCACTTGGGGTGTCCTGCACAGCACAAGCATGCCGTGCTGCTTTGGTCAAAGCGTTGCAAGCAAGGTTACGGCACTTCATGTAATCTGTTCACTGACCCAAAAGAGCCTGCTGATCCCTTGCCACACGTCAGCTATGCAAGGAACCTAAACTGCCAAGCAAAAGAGAAAGCAAGCACCTTGGCATTCCCCAGGCCGGAGACTTTGCATTTGGTCACCAATTTGGCTGCTCTGAAAAAGGAAGTTGATTGAACCTCGAAACCGGGTCAAAAACATGAACCCGTGAAGCACTGCGGCACACTCTTGGAAGGAAATAGTACATCATCGGTGAATATACTGGCCTGCTGGACTTGTCTAAAAACCAACATGTTGGGCCTTGACCACGAAACAAATACGTCCAAACTGTTGAATCATGATACAAAGTCACCGCTGCCTTCCCATCTTTCGCCGACCTCTCTTGTAAAAAAAAGGCCTCCAGGTGTTCCGTCACCCCGGTGCCGAGGGCCACGTTCAAAGCCAAGGTGTCCACAGCCACACCGCGGCCTCCAGCGTTCCGAGATCCAAAGGGAAGCAGCGAGAATGTGAATCAAGAAACCAGGCGAACCACGAAGCAAGCAACAAAAGTAACGTAACACAAATCATCAAAACAAACAAAACAAAACAATCAAAACAACCAAAACAGCTAATACATCAGAACAACCAAACAAACAACCACACAAGGAAGCGAGCAAAGAAACCCACGAAACACACACACACACACAACCAACAAACCGACTCATCAACCAACCAACCAACAAACAAACCAACAAACATACGCAACAAAGCGAAACCAAACCAAGCAAACAAACAAACACACAAAGAAACAAACAAACAACGAAACAACCAGACATACAACACAAAAAGAAACAAAACGAAACAAACAAACCAAAAAGTGACTAACAAACAGACAGAGAACCAACCAAGCAGCACACACAAACAAGCACACACAAACAAGCACACACAAACAAGCACACACAAACAAGCACGCACGAACGCACGCACGAACGCACGCAAGCACACGCGCAAACAAACAAGAAAAGCAAGGAAGCAAGCAAGCAAGCAAGCAAGCAAACAAACAAACCAATACATGAACAAGCAAACAAAACAAATACGGAAGTAATAACATGCTTCTCCTCTAAGATCATGCAACTTCTCATCGGCAGCCCTTCTTTCTTGCAAATCCAACAATGCGTCCGTTGGCGCTTGGCCGCCTCCAAAAGGGACAGGCGTTCTGTGAAAGGGTCCGCGTAAGCGCTCATTGGACTGGGCGGTCCTCAGATCCCCTGCCAAAAGTGACGAACTTTTTAGTGGGTTAAATACGGAAACCCAACCAACAAACCAACTAAAAACCTAAAACAACTTAAGCCCTATTCCAACTCAAAAGCTCAACACCTAAGAAACTGGATGGTTGGGAGCCTCTAAGTGGCATCTCAAACAAGTCTTGCTTTTGACTCGAGCCCCCGGCGCTGCATATCTCGGATCGTCCAAATAGTCGACGGCCAGTCCTGGCCCACCGAGACACGGAATCGAGCACGCGCACGCGCGCGCGCGCTCCGTCGCTGAAGGCAGGCTTCCTTTGGACGACTCGTCGTTTTTCAACTTCCATACCTAGCTAACAACTAAGCTGGTGAACTCTGCTGGCACGCACACAAACACACACACACACCCAGAAATGTGAGCAAATGGAAACAACTGCTTCATGCAAAGAGAGTCTGACATCTCAATGCAGTCCAAAGTCGAAGGCCCAGAAAGCATCTTAGGGACGTTGCCTGAGAAACCGTGATTGCCTGAAGCTTGGTTTCTTGAGCCAGGCCAACCATATGGCACTATCGGCACCTCTGTTGGGTTGAACAGGGAACACAAGGGGACCCCCTGTAAAGGACTCTCCCTGTTGAGACGGGCATATGATCGCCTGCCGCATGCTGTGGACGCGGAGGACTGTCATGTACCTGCCGAAAAATTGACTTCCAGAAACGGCACACGTCGTGCCAATGTGGGTGAAGGCCGAAAACCCGGACCTGACAACTGGGCTAGACTTGGATGCGCCAAAAGTCAACCACTTTGCTCTGGTTGACGGAAAATTCAAGGACACCCAACATGGCGACAAGCGAAAGAGGCAAACTCAGTCTGGCAATGAGACCAGATGGACAGAGATATTCCTTGGACCAAAAAAAAGGTCCCTGGCAACATGGGGAACGTGAAAGGGCGACATCACCTTTGTGGGCAGCTTCGCCGTGCCTGACATCTCTAGAATGGCCTGAGCCGCCTGAATTGTGGGTCTCATGCTAACTCTCGAGGATTTCCTTGGCTGGATATCCCAACTTCATCTAGAGCTCCTAGAAAGGGTCTGTTGGCTGTCGGGTTGGGAAACAAGCAAGCATTTCGTATTGACGTCACTGGGCTTCGCTCCAAATGGGAACCCAGGACTAGCAAGCGCGGTTCTGTAATGGCGGGCGTTGAATTTGAGAGAAGCCTTCATGTTTTCCGGAATCCCCCGTATTGATCCACAAGGTTGCTTCATCCGGTGTTGACATTCTCCAAAACGATGACCGCGAAGCAGGGTCTCGTGTTCTGTGGAATTCGAATTGCTGGTACCAAACTGCTAGAGGATATTTCGTACTGTGGGTGGACAAAATCCTGCACCAGTTGGTAGATGGTGTGCCAGTTTACCCCTGTTTTTCTAGGGCTTCACCTTCATTCATCCCAACTGCAGCCGGATTTTGTCCATCCATAGCAAGGCTGGCTAGCCCGCACACAAGAATTCAACCGTTGCCACCAAACGCATCGGGGAACAGCGCAAAGTATCCGAAATGGACCGAGGTCATCACATGACAAACACAAGCGTTAAAACGCGAAGTTCAACAGGCTCACCATAACAGTGAACACTAAACGCTGGCTGCCATGTTGATGCTGCTAATTAATAAACAGGCTCTGTTTAGTCGGTAAAACAAGAGCACTCTTCACGCTACGCGGGTCACAGAATTTCCAACCCCATTCTACACCTGCATCCCCCAAAACCGCAACTGTGAAGGTAGCACTGCCTGGGAAAACTATACTAAATCGTATACTGGGGTCCTGGCAAAAGTATGCTGGCGATCTAATCATCTATCCATGCGCTTGTATGCTTCCTTTGGGAGAAACGTGGACATCACAAAGCATGACCCAAGTCATCAACTCTGGCCCTGCGCACGCTCGGATAGATGGCGTGTTCACCGAAGACAGGGCTGAGGCGGCGCGAGCAGCCGAGCAAGCTTCATCCCAGTCACTGCACATTGAAATAAACTGCAACAATCAAGTTGAACGCTTGTGGATGATTGCTAGTGTGATCTGTTTTAGGACATCTTGTTTTCGTTTGTGTGTCAATTATAACTATGCATTTAAACAGTTCCCGCTCAGCACCTCTCTCAAGGTAATGATTTGGGTACCCCTGCTGAAGAGACCCGCCTGTAGTTTGCATGACCTCCCAGTTGCCAGAAGAAGGGCTCAGGATTAGACCCGAGAGGCTAAGAATCAAGCCGATCACACAAATATGAAAGCCGGAGCCGAGTGACTGCAAGCCACACCTCACGGAAAACAGGGGTGATCCAACACGACCGTAGCCGGCGTAGCCCCAAACATTGAGATGCTGTCCTTTCACTGGTGTGGCCTTTTTTGTTTTTGGGTCTCCATTTGGTGTGTGTTTTTGATATGTGTTTTTGGAAGTATCCCATGCTCCGTCCAGACATGGTGCGTGCTTGAGGGATGCAAACCATGCCCCGCCGCGCCGCCGGCCCTCGCTCTCAGGTCCGAACCCTTAAAGAAACTGATGGCCCGCTGGAGCTCGCCCACCTGCCAGTGACTTCCTCTTTCGGCATCTCTCGCGGTTTTTTAGTGACTTGCTGATAGGGCATGATAAACGGAACGATCCGTTTCGTGAGATTTCCGGCGAAATGGAAACCATAGGAGGGATAGGGTTTTCTCCGGGTCAAATTTATTTCTCATTGCCCTATCGCAACAGCAAGTTGAATTGTCATGCAGCAGTGTGAGTACGCTTTTGCCTCACTTCTGATCGAGTGGACTGGCCAAGCCAAGTGCGAACTTTTGGCTTGCCACTACAATGGTTCAAACCCAAAAAGGTTGGAGTCCATGAACTCAGGAAGTAAGATACCCCACAGAAAACACTCCGAGCCCAGCCCCCGTGCAAAGCCCCCTGACAGCGTCACTGATTTGCAGGAAAGCGGGAAATCCGTAGGGGTGCCCTTTTCTGGCACAAGCAAAAACATACTGTGGATGGACGAAATCCATTTCGCACCACCTAAGAAACCCTGGAATGATGATTGCCCTGTAAATACCAACAAACAATGGTTTCCCATAATTTCAAAATGGTGCAGGATTTCGTCCATCCACAGCAGTTCCATACTTCCCATGGCACATGACCCCCACCCAAAAGGAAGCTCACCTGAGGAACCGACATGTTGAGAACCCTGAAGGCCCTAAGCAACATGCATAGCCTATAGCTCATGGATCCGCTTTGGCCAGCCTCCACCGAGAAGTTGATGAGGCAGCTTAGGGTGACCTGATGCATGCGATGCTGACAGCGACCCTGTTGGTTTCCTTTCAAAAACAACGGTTGACACCTACTAAAGAACCCCTGACTGATTTCTGATATCTTCCTCATCAATGGGTTTCTTCATTGGCACTGGCAAAGTTGATCAGCCGGGGCTGTAGACGAGACTGCTGCAATCAAACAACCAACCAACTTTTGCTTGAATCAAGGCAGTGGTTGTCCACGATAGGCGTTTGCAATGCACAGTCCGTTTGACATCTGGCTCGAAACTCTCTCGGTATCTTAAAGTTTAATTCCAGAGAGGCTCCCCATGTGAGATGGTCCAAGGTTGGATGAGCCGAATGATGCAAAAGTTCGGTTGCATACAGCAATGAATAGGGTGCAATAAGTCTTGTTGCACGTGTGGGCCTTTTTCGCTGCTGTCTGATCGTGACATTGATGCGTGCTGCTGCCATTTGAGAACTGGGACCAGCTGATTTGCGACTCTCGTGCATCGCCGTCAACTCTGGTCATTTTGGCACGTGGTTGATCAGTTCCATTTGGCGTCGTTTAGTAACCTTTTCTGGGTCTGAAACTTCGGCTCTTGAAACTGGTCATGTAACCCTGGCACTTTCATTTTGAGCCCCCACCTTTTCTGAGTCCACGGGCTGCGGAAGGCTGCAGGCCATCTGCCGCAAGGCGGTCGTAGACCTCAGCCCCAACACCAACTGGAAGGCCTTCCAGCGGTGGATGGTTGCGAAATCCTCTTAGGCACCACCTAAGAATCCCTGGTTTCTGGTTTCTGCTTCCCCCTGTAAATACCAACAAACATTTTTGTGTTTTCCGTGGTGTCTTAGGTGGCGCAGGATTTCGTTCATCCACAGTAGTGACCCTCCAACCGAAGGCTTCTGGAGGGCTTCAGAAGAGTACCTTTCCTCAGAAGCACCCCGTCTTCCACGAGTGGAAGCAACGAGAGTAATTCACTCGAATCACAAAAGTGGGGTGAATGCCCTCATTCCGAGCCTCCCGCATGTGCCTGATTCAACACGAGCTTGCAACAAAAGGAATAGCTGAGATGAGAGGAGACCCTAAACAAAGGGTGTCAGATGCCTGACAGGCATGTAAGTTTCTTTGCAGGTGCTTGACAATAATTTACTCTACTTGCTGGGAGTGGGGGACACAGCAATTGCATATCTCATCATATATATCATTATTTCCGTGCAACTGGAACACCTGCGAGTGGAAGCGCTTCACTGGGCTCTCGCACGGAAAGGGCGAGCTTGTACTTCTTGACTCCTCCAATGTGCCGTACTCATTTCGCGGGAAACAACGGGAACTGCGTACCTTGAGGTGCTCAAGCCTTGTTAAATGGGCGGAACGACATTCATGCAACATGCATGTCCGAGGATACATGATATATGACGGTCCTAATTTTGGGCCCAGGGCGCGTGGGTATCTTCAGCATGTCACTTGTCCCTGCAATCATTGAGCACAAACGCATACATTACAAGGTGCTTTCCCACTAGGTCCTCCAGTAGAGAGGTTACAATAAGGGTACCAACTGTTTTCTGTAGTCCATTTTAGAAGGGGAACCCTCCCCCAAAAAAGGGTAAAAGGGCACCACTGGGGGACCTAGCCCATAGTGCTCTGTGTTACGCATCAGTGGCATGTCCTCTGAGACCGGAGCACATCAGTGGCCAAGTGTCATGGGGATGGTCAACGCGCAGAAGTGTAAGCTCCGGTTCTAGGGTTGTTCAAGATATACAAGGCGTTTGTCTTCACCTCCAAAGCTTAAAACGAGAGGCTGCGTCAACATCGATTTCCGGATTGCAGCATCACGGAAGGCACCAATCGCCAGACTATGAATCTATGTTGGATTGGACCAAAAGTAGAATCGGGCTTGAGCAAATCCGCATCTGCCAAGGACTGGCACTCTTTTTCCTATGGCGGGAATCGGATGCATTTGCAATGTAGATTGGCGTTTGTCGGACAGGGGATCCACGAGTACAAGTCTATACTATATATCTTATATCATATCAACATCAACTCCAAGACCAAACCAAAAAAGCCGCTCACATTGGACAGACTCATGATGAATGCACCCATGCTTGGAAGTAAGCTCATGGCTTGGCAACCTTGGGATCTAGTCTGTCCTGCCAGCTGCTTCATCGTGCTTTCGTAGAAATGGAGTGGCCGAGCCACGCCCTGGCCGCTTTGCCAGCCCCACTGTGGCGGGCGCTTCTTGGGTTGCTCCCTTTTCAGGCATTGCCAAAGTCCATTCCTGGAAAAAAAGAGGGATATTGAATAGCCGGAAACTGTGTTGTCCCTGTCCTGGCCCCGAGTCGTTGAGTCGAAAGCCGTCCCGCCGCGCTTCAGATTTAATGCCAGGCTTGTTTCTTCTTGCTGTCTCCCTCAAACTGTCGAGCCATTAAAAGCACATCGTCTTCTCCAACCCCAAGCCCAACCCCAGACATGGATGGTTTGCAGAAACTTGAAATGGTGGATTCTACGTCCTCACTACTCACAAGCAGCGAGGCTATAGTTGAGATGCTAGAATGATATGCAACTGCAAAGTCGTCCTGTTGCTTCCGTCACATATCACTATTACTGACTCATTAAGTTGCTGCAGTCGTGGTCACGGTCCTTGTGTGGCTCCGGATGCGTAAATCAGTTGAACCCTGCAATGAGTTGCTTGCGCAAAGGTTCTCGAGTTTGTATGTCCAATGGCCACACACGCACGTACGCGCACAAGCCTTTCACAATCGTAGAATACGAGCCCTGCCAAGCGCACAACGCGCAGTGTCCCATAGAGGTCGGGGTAGGGGGGCCTGCGGCTACGTCCTGCGCGACAGCTTCCCAACACGGACCATGCTCTTGTGGAATGAACCAACTCGCTGGCAAGCTTGCAATTACAAGGACCTTGCATTGGATTGATGGCAAAAGTCATACCTTCTCATCCCAGCTGCGCCTGGCTCACCATATCATCCAGCAGCCTCTCGACCAGGTTGTACCGACTTGCGCGGATCACGCAGTACACCTCGAGCGTGGCTGTGCTGCCCTACCCCGAAAGAGCTCTTTCGGTGGATCATGCAGCTTCCAGAATGTGCCGACCTGCAAGTCAATGGACCATCACCAACTGCCTTGTGGCTGTGCCAACCGCGAAGCACGGTAGCAGAACTCCAGTAATGTTGCTCAAAGCATGCGGGCGCTTGTTGTGGGAACAAACCTAGAAAGTTCGACCACACATAAGTATATACCAACTACGTCGTCCATGTCCAACACATGAAATACAAACGATTGCGCGCATGAGCCTTGACAAACTGAAACAAACTGACTTCCTAGGAAATGCAAAGGCTCAATCACCCAAGCCCTTGAGCGCACTGAAACAGAATACGCCTTGACAAGGTACGGTATTGTGGTTCAGCAGCGTAAAGCGCCTAAGGGGAGCAAATGTATCAAGTTGTCCACTTGTACTTTTCTGGGAAAGCTGGCTGCTCCTCTCCAAAAGCATGGCATGTCTGGCAACAAAGCCTAGCAAGTACCCATCCTTCCTTCACCTCAAGTGGGGCGATTCGCATCTTCGTCCGAAATATGAGCTGGATCCCGGGTGTCATCCCAACTCTTGGACTTTTGTTCGCCTGCTTTTGGTGCTCCTCTCATCTTCCATTTTCTTTTTCGCCCCCTATAAAAAAATAATATGTCCAGTAGTCATAAATTCCAGTAGTCATCAAGTTGCTTTAAAACCACCAAAATAGACCCTTTAAAACCAAAAGGGGAAAATAACCATTAAAAACAACAACAACTATTTTCAGCAAATGGAAGTCACCCCAGTGGCTTTAGGCAGCTCTCAGCTCGCCGCCAGAGAAGCATAGCACTCCACCGTTTGATGCAAGGCCGCAGCCTTGCGCCAGTCACTTCTTTCAATGCCACTCCGTTTTGCAGATCTGCCGTCCCCCAAAAAAGGGTAAAAGGGCACTACTGGGGGACCTGGAATGTGTGACTCTCTCTGGGATACTGGTTGACCCCATGTTGATCAACCTAAGTGTATTGATAGCGGGGTGTTTCCCTCCAAAATTGTGACCTTCCAGTTGCGGTTTCGGCCCCTGGAAGAAAGAAACATCAATTCCAATGGTGCTAGATGCCCTTTGAAACCAACAGGGGAAAACCAATATTCTTAAGTTAAGCAAATGGAGGTGACTCTTGGAATGCCCTTTGAAATGCCCGTTTGACAGCGCAAAACAAGGCCGAAGGCCGAAGATTTCAAAGGGACGGTCAATTGAGTAAACAGCTCCCTGCAGATGCCCCTAGCATTGAGCGCAAAGGCAATCCGCAAGAATGACGGCAGAAAACACTTGGCACACAAGCACAAACACTCAAATGTGCAACGACGAAAGAAAAAGCGGGAAACAACAAAAATGCAAAAAGCGGAATCCTTGGCGCATGGTGAAGGCAATACAAAACAAACAGCCGAACACCATTTGGCAGGGCTCATGCTTTTGGAACACCATGCAAGCGCAAGTGCCACGTTTCAGTACCAATTCGTCGCATCAGCGATTCGAAACGGTTAAGCTCAAGCTGATGACACCCTGCCCAAAACCAGCAGAATTCATCTACGTGACATTGACGGCAGCCTCTCTTAAATTGTGAAGGCGTTGATGGTCTGATGTGCCCACCTTTGAAGGTGGGCTATTCGAAGCCATCGATGCACTTTGAAGTTTGAGGCACTCAGGCGCCCAGTGCAAACCTAAGCCACTGGCCCGAGGCTTTACAGTTTGCGATGGTGTCAATCAGAAACTCATGCCTATCACCTCATGTCGGAAGGCGCTTTAAAAGCGTTGGGCGGAAAACCTGACAGGGTCAGGTTTTGTTGGCCAAACCCCAAAGCAGCCATAAGCAGCAAACAAAAAATAACAAACAAACTCATACAACAAATAACAAACAACAAACAACAAAACAAAGCCAATATCCCCAACAAAAACATAACAAACTCCTACAGATTCGGGCTGATTCGGCCGTGCCCGGGGCCTCAGAAAGTCGCAGGTCCTGCTCTGCCAGCTTTGTCAGCAAGTTCTCGTAGAGGTTCAGAACCTCACGACCCGTCGACCCAAAACACGGGGCCACACAAACCCAATTTGGAACCAGCGAATAATAATGCAAGGAAACGGCCCTGGAACAAAAAGCTGTGGCGTTGGAGTGTGCTGGTGGATTGAAAGAAAGGCAGCGGGATCAAGAACAGGATTCACTTCTGTGCGTTGAACTGCAAATGAAGCAGAGACGGGTATCTATCCAGGTTACAAAGCGTCAGCAAGCTTGGTCTAGGGATTTCATCTTAAAAGCTCAAGCAAGGGGGGCAAATACAACCACCAAAATCTGGCTTGCTATAAGAAAACCAAAACACAACTGGGCATTCCAAAAGCTTGCATGTTTTTGTGGGGTTCAAGCAATGGTTGGGTTCAAATTACCACCATTATTTTTACCTAAGAGTTCTCATCCAACTTGGGTCGTGGCCATTCTTTTGATGGGGGCCGCCTCTTGCGGGGCCGCTCAAACCTCACCGGAAACCGCTTCGCTCGCCGGGCGCCCCACGTGATTCACGGTCCGTGTGGTGTGCGCCCTCAGATCCCGAGGTTCCAGTTCACCGAATCAATCATCGGGACATCAACCAATCAATCATGGGTACCCCGAAACAATCCACATGGGCACATCACATGAGTCACAATCAAAACCCGGTACTAAAATGGTCGTAATCCCAGAACCATGTAAAGAATTAAGAAGGCGGCCGCAGCTATTTATGGTTGGGATCGTCCCTTACTAACCTTCATCTACCCGGGTTTTGATTGTGGCTCACATCTTGTTTTGGGGTTCCCATTTCAGTCGTTTTGTTGGGGTAGCCATTTAAGTCTTTTTTGGGGTACCCATTGAAGTCCTTTTATGGGGTACCCATTTTGGGGCTCTTTTTAAAGGGGGCCAAAAGAAAAACCCAGCCATTTTGGAGGCTCCCTTTGAAACAACCCCACATTTCCATTCTGGGACTCCGGGGGTTCGCTCTTATGCAATCGGCCATTTCTACCATCGACTGCACACTGCATATCGCTGGACACAATATTTGAAGATAAGATCATTTCATGGCACATGGCACTCTGAGCAACGTGATCAAGTTATATCAAGTTGCTAACAATAACATGTAAACATGTTAAGGGTTCTTCGAGCTCAAGCTCCCTTTTAATTGAGCTGGCCCAAAAATTAGTCCAAACTGGTTTGTTTACCACTAAAATGTCAACCAAACCCAACAAGTTTAAACGTCGGACTCATTGAGTGAGAAATCCAAGCAACATCGAATCGGATGGGACCTCCAACCCTGGAGCACCACCAGGCATGACTTATACTCTTTAGAAGGCAGCACCGTATCTGCACAGCATTCCAATCATTGCTTGGCCCTCCCATCATTGAGATTTACAAGCACACATTCAAAAAACCAATCCAGGATAGCTCGACGAATATTTTCTTGTGCTGGGTAGCCAGATGAGGTTCATGAAATGTAAAGGTCCCGGAATGCAATGTGTCATGTCATGAGTTAATTTGCTGAATGAAAATCACGCGCAGTCATTTGACTGTATGCTTGCCCCATGGACTTAATCGCGGCCCCTGGCTCAAGAATATGCCGAAGGCTGCAAATTGAGTGGAAGCCATGGATTGATCAAGGAGATGGTTTCCTTGCATCGCAATGACAAATGTTACAAAGACAACATACACCTCAGCACTGAACCACAAATCCAAACCTTCTGACATGTAGCTTCGTATCTTCTTATCACTCTGTCCCCTTCTTGAAGTCCACCGAGCTGGGCTTTCAGGCAAGGATCACTTGCGGCAAGCACACGCTCATCTCGCTTTCTCATATTTGCGTGCTTCCCTTGTCACTCTCCTTTCCATAGGGAAGCCAGCCAACTGTCCAGTGTGCGCGATTCAAAAGGGAAGCACCCATGTTGGTGGCTCAACATACAAGCCGAAGCAGCGCGTCAGGCAAGTACACTCCCTCAGACTAACCGCCGGAAGCTCCGCCAATTGGCCTCTGCAAATGGATTTCCAAGTCTTACATTTCGGGGTCCATTTGGGAGCTTCCATGGAATCCGACTGGGCGCCAGGCGGGTCCCTCGCGCCCGTGGAGATGCCTTCCATTGCGGCTGCCACCTTCGGTCCGTCTTTTCTGAGGCTACCCTTCCCATGCCCTACACTCGCTACACCCCCGGTTGGGTGTGGTTCCTTTTATGCGGGAGCCCTTTTTGGGTTGGAAGCCAAAAGGAAAACTGCCTTTTTGGGGGTCCGCCAAATTAGAGAGAGGGTGAAACTAGAAGGGCGCATCCATTTGGTTGGATCTAAACGAAAAACACAAAGCGAATCAACCGGTAGGGGATTGATATGGGTGTGCGTTCAAATACGACCCCCACATTTTTCGGCTTGCCTTAAGCTGCAAAGGGGAACCTCAATAAAACAAACAACAAATCTTGCATAACTCACTTGATGAGCACCGTGTTCGAGTGTGTGAAAATACATAGCACATCCCAAAAATGGAAGTCTTTCCTCCGGTGCTTCGAGACAAGCTTGCCGGCACTCGCCAATCCACAAGAGATGATCTCCCTGGGGTGGCTGACAAGCAAGAACCAAACAGATCCAAATGCCACCAGTGTAAAACAGGTATCCCGCAAACCAATTAACAGGGCTAGAGCATATTGTGCTAAAGTGGTCATCAAAGGAAGTTTAACAAGAAACTTCCGTAGTACTGGAACTAAATGAGCTAGCTGCTTTGACATATAGCTATGACAGGTAGCTAGCATGACAAATAGATAGCTTTGACATATAGCTAGCTTGACAGATAGATAGCTTTCCAATAGGCTTGCATGACAGATAGATAGCTTTGACATATAGCCAGCTTAACACGTAGATAGCTTTCTCAAGTATAGATTTCGTGGCAGGCGCAGCACTTTCGCAAGCACTCTCTGCGAGCTGGGGGATGGCAAGATGCAGAAAACGTTGGCGCTGTGCGTGAATTGGGCTTCCGGACTGTGCGCAAACCACCTCGGCTGCGACGCCTGTACGGCGGCGGTCTCGGAACGGTCTCGGAACGGTCTCGGAACGGGTTCGGAGACGGGCCCATTGGCACGGCCGCGCGAAGGTTTCGCAAGGTTTGAATTGCGTGGCAGGCGCAGCACTTTCGCAAGGTCAAGTATAGATTTCGTGGCAGGCGCAGCACTTTCGCAAGGTCAAGTATCGATTTCGTGGCAGGCGCAGCACTTTCGCAAGCACTCTCTGCGAGCTGGGGGATGGCAAGATGCAGAAAACGTTGGCGCTGTGCGTGAATTGGGCTTCCGGACAATGCGCAAACCACCTCGGCTGCGACGCCTGTACGGAGGCGGTCTCGGAACGGTCTCGGAACGGTCTCGGAACGGTCTCGGTTCGGAGACGGGCCCATTGGCACGGCCGCGCGAAGGTTTCGCAAGGTTTGAATTGCGTGGCAGGCGCAGCACTTTCGCAAGGTCAAGTATAGATTTCGTGGCAGGCGCAGCACTTTCGCAAGGTCAAGTATCGATTTCGTGGCAGGCGCAGCACTTTCGCAAGGTGCTGCGTTCCACTCTCTGCGAGCTGGGGGATGGCAAGATGCAGAAAACGTTGGCGCTGTGCGTGAATTGGGCTTTCCGGACTGTGCGCAAACCACCTCGGCTGCGACGCCTGTACGGCGGCGGTCTCGGAACGGTCTCGGAACGGTCTCGGAACGGTTCGGAGACGGGCCCATTGGCACGGCCCGCGCGAAGGTTCGCAAGGATTGAAATTGCGTGGCAGGCGCAGCACTTTCGCAAGGTCAAGTATAGATTTCGTGGCAGGCGCAGCACTTTCGCAAGGTCAAGTATCGATTTCGTGGCAGGCGCAGCACTTTCGCAAGGTGCTGCGTCCACTCTCTGCGAGCTGGGGGATGGCAAGATGCAGAAAACGTTGGCGCTGTGCGTGAATTGGGCTTCCGGACTGTGCGCAAACCACCTCGGCTGCGACGCCTGTACGGAGGCGGTCTCGGAACGGTCTCGGAACTCGGAACGGGTTCGGAACGGGTTCGGAGACGGGCCCATTGGCACGGCCGCGCGAAGGTTTCGCAAGGTTTGAATTGCGTGGCAGGCGCAGCACTTTCGCAAGGTCAAGTATAGATTTCGTGGCAGGCGCAGCACTTTCGCAAGGTCAAGTATCGATTTCGTGGCAGGCGCAGCACTTTCGCAAGGTGCTGCGTCCACTCTCTGCGAGCTGGGGGGATGGCAAGATGCAGAAAACGTTGGCGCTGTGCGTGAATTGGGCTTCCGCCTCGGCTGCGACGCTGTACGGCGGCGGTCTCGGAACGGTCTCGGAACGGTGAACGGTCTCGGTAAACGGGACGGGCCCATTGGCACGGCCGCGCGAAGGTTTCGCAAGGTTTGAATTGCGTGGCAGGCGCAGCACTTTCGCAAGGTCAAGTATAGATTTCGTGGCAGGCGCAGCACTTTCGCAAGGTCAAGTATCGATTTCGTGGCAGGCGCAGCACTTTCGCAAGGTGCTGCGTCCACTCTCTGCGAGCTGGGGGATGGCAAGATGCAGAAAACGTTGGCGCTGTGCGTGAATTGGGCTTCCGGACTGTGCGCAAACCACCTCGGCTGCGACGCCTGTACGGCGGCGGTCTCGGAACGGTCTCGGAACGGTCTCGGAACGGTGGTTAAACGGTCTCGGAACGGGTTCGGCGACGGGCCCATTGGCACGGCCGCGCGAAGGTTTCGCAAGGTTTGAATTGCGTGGCAGGCGCAGCACTTTCGCAAGGTCAAGTATAGATTTCGTGGCAGGCGCAGCACTTTCGCAAGGTCAAGTATCGATTTCGTGGCAGGCGCAGCACTTTCGCAAGGTGCTGCGTCCACTCTCTGCGAGCTGGGGGATGGCAAGATGCAGAAAACGTTGGCTCAAATGTAGTTACTTTCGTGACTTGGGCATTTGGCACACCTCACACCTGACCACGCAACTTGTCACACTTTACTCAACCCCACAGTCAGTCAAGCGCTCCAAGGGATGTTGTTTTGTGTTGTTCTGTTTGTGCAGAGAGTCACAGTCTGTAAGCAGTATTAGTGGCGCCCGTGTTTCCCCTCAGGGGGACTTTTTACAGACTACTCAGAAAATCAACAACGCATACGACTTTTTTTCAGAGGTTGGTGCTTCGGCCGGCCGCTTGCGCACCCGCTACTCAGGGCAGCTTGGCGTTTCGGCCGGCTGCTCGCGCCATGGATCGCGATGACAGCAACACTAGTGAGGACCGCTTTCAGGTCCTGTTGACCTACCTGGCGGCAAACGCCGCAGAACTGCGACAGCTGCAGTGCCAAGACATGGCCTCGCTTTTGCGCACTGGCGAGGCCAGGCGAGGCAAGCCGGCCATTCCAGACAGGGCCGCCTTATACCGGTTCCTTCAGAGACAGGGCCACGCTTTTACAGAGGGGCAGAGGGAGGAGCTCCGGGCATGGGAGGCTCGGCTGTGCGTGTCGCCCAAGCAAGCGCAGCCAGAGCTCCAAGATCAGTATGAAAGGTTTCTCGCGCTGCTTGAGAAACGAGCAGATTTTTTTATTAGCTTGCGCAAGGTGTCTTTGAAAGCTTTATTTGAAGTCCACGCAGCGAAGACCGACAAGGAGCTTCGGTTCGGCAAAAACTTCATGCTTCGCTGCTACCCACAGCTTTCGCAGGAGCAGATGGACGAGCTGGCCGAGTGGGAGGCCATGCTTTGTGACGCTGGCGAGGGCGAGCGCTTGGCGTTTCGGCCGGCGCTGCAGCGACAGCTGGCGAAGTTTATCGCGGTGCTCGAAAATCGAGCTGAGTACTTGCAGAGCTTGCAGAAGCCTTCGCTTAAAGCTTTGTTTGAAGCGCACGCCGTGAAAAATGATAAGGAACTCAAGTTCGGCCAAAATTTCATGCTTCGCTGCTACCCACAGCTTTCGCAGGAGCAGATGGACGAGCTGGCCGAGTGGGAGGCCATGCTTTGTGACGCTGGCGAGGGCGAGCGCTTGGCTTTTCGGCCGGCGCTGCAGCGACAGCTGGCGAAGTTTATCGCGGTGCTCGAAAATCGAGCTGAGTACTTGCAGAGCTTGCAGAAGCCTTCGCTTAAAGCTTTGTTTGAAGTGCACGCCGTGAAAAATGATCAAGGCCTCAAGTTCGGTCAAAATTTCATGCGCCGCTGTTACCCAAAGCTTTCACAGGGGCAGAAGGACGAGCTGGCCGAGTGGGAGGCCATGCTTTGCGAGCCCGGCGAGGGCGAGCGCTTGGCGTTTCGGCCGGCGCTGCAGCGGCAAGTGGACCGATTTGTTGCCCTGCTGGCGAGCCGCCGCGCAGAATTCCTGCAAGAGAAAGAATCTTCTCTTGGCGCGCTGTTTCGCGCTGCCCGTCGCGGCCGCGACAAGGACTGGAGGTTCGGCCACGAGTTCGTGTCTCGCGTGCTGCCGAAGTTGTCAGCAGAGATGGCGGCGCAGGTGCAGCAGGCAGCAGCTTCTTGCCTATGCCCGACAGAGAGGGCGGCGCGCAAGGCTCCGCACGAGCCCAAGCTGCATGTCGAGGAGTGCGCGCTCGGCGACGACTTGCCTCGCCCGCGGCTGCCAAAGTGCTTGCGCCAGCTATACGGCGACAGCTTGGACGCGGAGACCCGCGTCCGAACCTTCTTCCACCGAGTGCACGAGGTGGACACGTTTTTGCAGGAGCAAGAGTTTACGGCCTGCGAGTACTGCAAGGAAGGGTGGTTCGGGACCACCCGGCCACGCGACGCCCTGCCGGGCCAGGTCGAGACCGCTACCTTCAAGAAGAGCAACTTTATCCTTGCGCCAGAGAAGGACTGGCTGGAGCCCGGCAAAGCAATATGCCGCAACTGCCTGTCAGAGGCTGTGGCACGGGCCAAGGAAGGGCTCCCCAAAGCGCCCGTCCGCTTCACTGCGGAGAACCTTGCAGACCCGGGGGAGTGTCTGGCAGAGACCGACGCGCTCACCTTCTTCGAAGAAGAGCTGCTGTCGCCGATACAGCACATCGTGCGCATCTTCACGCTGCACGCTACTGGGCAGTGCGAACTGCGTGGCCATGTCGGCAACTTGTTTCAGAATGGCCCGCAGTACGTGCGGCAGATCCCGGCCCTGGTCGGAGACATGAAGATGCTTTTG